TTGCGGCCGCGGCCCGCTGCTACTTTGCTGCTGACTGCAGTGGGTGAAGTGTCTTTCCCTGACTTTCAGAGCTTGGACACCGGACGAACGGAACGTCAGGAACGTCAGCGTTGCCTGGACGTCAGCCTTGGCTGGGCTTCTCCCATCCCGAGAACAAGGTAGGGCCCTTGTGACGGGAAAGCGGCAAAGCTAAGGGTCTTTGGAGCGTGTTCCGGTGGCCCCGCTGTGCTGTCCTTAGCTCTGTCCTCGCCATACGTCGGTCTGACCGCCACCTTAGTTCCCGGCTAGCGTGCAGACTCTGGACGTGTTCCACGGCCTGCGAATGGTAGTTTTGCGTCCTGGCGTCCCAAGTACCCTACAATCTGCTCGGCCCCTGTCGAACCAAACCGCAGACTATTACGCAGCAGTGGGGGCGCCCCGTGATCCGTCAGATGCCTGGCTGCTGAGGTGGATCCTGATCACGGCTCCAACATTGGTCGTCTGTCCGTCTCGCGGTCGGGCTGCGCGGTTAATGAGTCAATGCATTCATGCTATTATGTTGCTTTGAAAACCTGCTCTTGAGTTGGTTGGTCAATTACACTTACTTTTTCAAATTCATTAATTGCTGCTGCTTTCCTAAGTAGTGCTTTGTGTTTTCTTTGGTACTTTTAAAGTTGACTTGGATTGTTTTGTTTTGTTTTTCATTTTTCCTATTTCGTAATAAAAACGCTGAGGGCTGCAACTGTTCCTTCCCCCCAGCTTTCCTTGTGCCGCACAGGTTTTGATGTATGATGTATGAGTTCCAGTTTGACCCAAAATTGTTCAGGAGTTTTACAGTTTCCCTCTAGAGCGGCGGTTTTTGGGGTAGTGACTTTTGGTTCTCTGATTTCTGATTTTATTGTACAGTGATCAGAGGCTGATTGGGGCGCTTCTCTGCGCTGAGCTACTGAGCGCCGTGTGACGTGCTTCCTGGAGCAGCCATGTCTGTTTTCTGCTGCAGACAGTGTGGGGCGTTTATTTACTCATGCAGTCCACCTTATGAACGTTTGGAGTCCCTCTATGCCCATGGAAGGAGCTCTGGTGAGACAATGGGAAGGCAGAAGATTGTCAGTTCAAACCTACCGGCTGCCCCGTGGGAGGAAGATGAGGCAGTCTACTTCTGTAAAGATTCACTGCCTTGGAAACCCAAGGACTCAAAATTGACTTGACAGCAGTGGGTTTGGTTTTTTGGGTTATATCCATGTATATTTCTACTTGAAATGTCGGTATATAATATTGGACACATCATTTACATTCTTTTGTAAATTAAGGGGGACGATGAGGCCAGGCGTGAAGGGACCCTGGTTTGTGGACTCAGGGGCCCTGGCTCTGACAGCAAGTGACCCATCCACCCTGTTTTATGTGGCTGGATCTCGTTTGTTCTCAAGACTTGAATGCTGCCTTTGAGTGCATGCTACCGCTGTTATCTGTTCTTCCAACAGACGTCGGTGTCTCTTGGCTGTGGGGAACCAGGCCATGGTGGCCAGCCTGCACGTGGCTGGCTCTGCCCAGGCCCCACAGTGGCTGTAGGACAGCTGTTTGCATATTGCTTGCTCTCAGGATCGCCCATACACCAAGGAATTGAGACCTTCAAAGGGCTTTTGTCGATGTGGCTTGTAGCTATTGATAATTACCGCACTAGAAGGAGAAATTAGGAAACTTAAGAATATAGCACCGGGGAGTGTTTCCTTCTGCTGTGCATAGGGTCACTATGAGTCAGGGACGACTCGAAGGCACCTAACAACAACGACAGTGTACATCAGGCTTATTTTAAAAGAATAATTAACTCATTGCTAGTTAACATAAATTACACGTTTTTGTGGAAAACAACTATTTTTGTTTTTATTATTTTGATGTCGTGGGAGAATTACTACTACGATGGATTCATTTTTATTGCAAAAGGACTGCGTACAGCTGCTAAACCAGAAGAGGAGTCCTTGATGATTGCAAGGGAGGTACATAGGGCACCTCAGGGATAGGACAAGGTGTATTTACAATGTACCTCAAAATAAGTTTTCATGTGAAAACTAAATTATCATGAAAAAACACAATACCCAGTTGACATACAAGAAAATGCAATTATACTTACAGGGTTTATCTCACTGTATAAAACCTAAAAAAGACAAAACTTTTAGTCATACCTCCAGAATTCACCACCTCATAGAATAACTTTTAAACACAGTGATTTGGCAACAATTTAACATGTCTTCTGTTACAAACATACATACCATTACAGTATGCATTACTATCTAGCAGGAACAGTTACCAGAACAGTTAAAACTGTTCCTGCTAGATGGTAACATACTGTATGTGGGACAGGAGCATCCCAAGAAACCAGACAGGCAAAAAATGGTACCATAAAAGGAAATGAAGTAATTGTCATATAGTACAATTAAGAAGAAGACTATGTTGAGTTTTAGCATTACTCTGATCTGTTAATTCCCAGTTCCCATGTATAACCGCAAATATATGTTCATAATGTTACTTGTACTTGGAACATTGACCACCAAAGATTGCCATCATACAATTTTCAGAACTTTCAATCTTTGTTTGTTTTACTCCAAATTTTATTTTCCCATGCTGCATAAACAATATAACAATTATTGTTAAAAATTATTTAGCACTTACTACATTCCAAGATCTAAATCTTTTTTTTTTTTTATTGTGATTTGGATGAAAATTTACAGAGCAAATTCACTTTCCATACAGCAGTTCATGCACACTTTGTCTCATGATATTGACCACAATTTACCACAATGCAACAGCTCCCCTCCCACTTCCTCCCAATAGTTACCTCTTTCCTGTGTCCATCCCTCCATGCACTCCTGCCCCCTGAGCTGTCTCCCTGTGCATAAGCAGCCCTTCTTTCTCCCATGATTGTTCTCTGCAAGGAGTATATATCTACTTCAGGTAAATGTTCAACTTGTGTGCCTGTCTTTTGTTTGGCTGGAAGCCACAGGTGTGGGTTAAATTCCAGACCTGAAGGGCAGCTAGGGGCCGTGGTCTCAGTGGTTCCACCAGGCTCTATCAGACCAGCAAACCTGGTCTCTCCCCGCCCCCCCCCTTTTTTTTTCTTCTAAATGATTTTGAGTTTAGTTCCACATTGTTCTCCCTCTCTATACAGGATCTCCTACATAGATCCCCTTCCAAGTAGTTGATAGTGGTAGCTGGGCACCATCTAGTTCTTCTGGTCTCATAGTCATATATAGGTTGCAGATGGGATAGTGTACCAGTCACTAGGACTAATTGTTTCCATGACTTTTTGGTTTTCGTCATTCTTCTTTGCTCTGGTCGAGGAGAGACCCATCGTTGCATCTAGATGGCAGCTTGCTAGCTCTTAAATTCCCAGTCACTACTCACCAAAGCAGGAGGTGGAACAGTGTTTTGTGTAGCATGTTACGCCAATTGAGCTTGACGTCCCCTGCGACTATGGTCTCGAGCCCACAGGTTTAACTACTCAGTCCCTCTGAATAGCTGGCTGTGACCAAGCAGTGATTACAGTTTTTCCCCTTGTCAGCTCTACTATACATCTGGGAATTCAGATCATATACATAAACTTATAGGACCATTGTCTGCCAACCCTATACATGGTCTTGAGTACACGCCCCGCTTCATAGACAACCTACTAGTTCAGCCTGTCCATCCATCTATCCACCCATATACCCATGTTTGCCTTCACTGACAACGCAGTACTGTATGTGCAAAAGGGTTCATCTTTGTTTTCTGTACTTCCTACGTACCTCTCTATGTCTTTCTCTTCCTCAGTGCCACTATATTGATCACTCACATTTGGTACATTGCCCTTCTCTTTACCAAATCAAAACTTATCTCTATCTATCTAACAGTATTCCCTCCCTTCCCCTCCCAACTCCGGTAACCAACAAAGAAAATGTCCTTCCATAGGTAAAAGTTCCCTTTACTTTTACAATAATGGACTTCTACAATATTTGTCCTTTTGTGATTGACTTATTTCAC